CCCAACCATCATAACGTATGACTTATTCCAATCTCTAACGTAGGAGGCAGCTCTCATGTCTTTCCAGGTCATCAGATGATGGAATGGCTTGCCTGTATCTCTGGTAAAGATGGCGATGATGAAAATGATGGTGAAGATGGAGATGATGGTGAGGATGAAGATGATGATAATGAAGATAGTGAGGATGAAGATGATGGTGAGGATGATGAAGATAGTGAAAATGATGATAATGAAGATGGTGATGAAGATGATGGTTATGAAAATGATGATAATGAAGATGGTGATGAAGATGATGATGATGATGAAGATGATGAGGATGAAGATGGTGATGATAAGATGATGACGATGACGAAGATAATAACAATAATAATAACAATAATAATAGTAATAATAATAATAGGATGAATATGGTGATGAAGATGATGAAGATGGTGAAGATGATGACGATGATGAAGATAATAACAATAATAATAACACTAATAATAATAATAGTAATAATAATAATAATCACGGACTTATCCCAAGTTATGAATGTATTCCTCTGAGTTGCAATGCCTAGGCAAGATATGTCAGACGCCGTCAGGCCTGAAACTGTTTGTTGTCAGTTCAATTCTTACCATAACTTATTATTATTATTATCATTATTAATGTTTTTGTTGTCATTATTTATTATTACAAAAATTAACGATCCCTATTAAATAATATGTTTCTGTGGTTATTATGGACACCCTCATAAATATCACCAACACCATAACTCGTAATAATTTTTATTGCTATTGCTATTATTGCAGATGTTATTATTTATAATTACGAATAACAATAAAAATAATAAATGAAAAAAAAATAATAATAACAATAATTATAACTTAATTATACTTTCGATAGCTCGTCTTATGACATAGACGCACTGTTGGAATATCTCCTCTTCATCAATCTCGCAACTTTCACCATTGCCGTCGTCATCATCCTTCCTTATTAGATGCACCTTAGTTTATAATTATTTAATTATGCAATTATTTAATTATAACGATAGTATTGATAGTAGTAGTTGTATTAGCAGCTAGAGCGGTAGCAGCAGCAGCCGCAACGGTAGTAGTAGCAGTAGTGGTAGTAGTATTAATATTAGTATCTGGAATGGTAGTGGTAATAGCAAAAAAATGTAATGGTAAAAGAAGGATCAACTAGTTAACCATCTAGTCAGTTAGCCAACCAATCCACCAACCAACCAACCAACTAACAAACCAACCAACCAACCAATCAATCAAACCAAACAACCAACCAATCAACCGACCAACCAACCAACCGATCGAACCTTATCAGAAGCATTAGCAAGTATCTGAGATTTTGAATTGTAGATGAGACATCTGACAGTCGTCGTGCCGACATCTAGAGAAGCTATGTACTTCTCAGACATAATCTATGTTATGATATACACAGTAAAAAAGATTAAAAAAAAGTAAATTTTATTTTATTAATATTATGATATACATAGTAGAAAAATAAAAAAAAAATCAAATTTATTTTATTCTGTTAAGACTGGGAATTGGTGGATTTTTATACAGAATAAATTCCATTTATGTAGTGCTAGATGTTTCAACATTCTTAACTTTGATAGTGAACAGTAATTAGTAATTAATTGGTCTAATTACTTATTCTCTAATTACTATGATGATAGATTCAGTAACAATTTTTCAGAAGCCTATGTAATGTATGCGTTTGTGAGACTTTGATGTGACATCAAAAAGTAATAATTAGCATAAATGATTAATAATAATTAAATATTAAATTGAATTTGTCGTTCATTATGCCAATATTAAAATAAATATATATATATATTTAAAAAAAAAATAATATTGATAATTTGAATAAGAAAAATTAAATTAAATTAAAAAACAATTTATCAACCAGATTTCTGATTTATTGATGCACTTTAATTTTTTTTATTCAATAATTTATAATACAATAAGGCACGATATTGTTATAAATTATTACAACTCTTTTATGATTTCATTTAAAAATTAAAACTACAACTTCAACTAGAAAATAAATTTCTTAAAAATTATTAAATAGATTTGTAAATCTATCTAATTTTTAAAAAATGCATAAAAGGGATAAAAGAAGCTACATAATTATCTTTGGGTTTGTTGATTATTCAACGTATTAGTACATGATTTGTTGATTTCAACTAAACTAATGGCTAATGCTTATCTATAATTTCACTAATCTAATCTAAGAAACAGATCCTAAAATTAGTGAAGTGGCACACAACACCACTCAAACACACCTAATTTCTAACACGACAAAGTTCAATTTAAAACGAAACTTATAAAAAATTATTGCCTGGTTTCGTTAATTAAATTAGGAATCATCCCAAATCTACAAAACGATTGCTGGAAAAATATACAAATATCGTTATTTCGATCGCTAAGTTTATTTATTTTTAAATAACTTAAGTTCACTTTTAAATTTTTTAAAATTTTAAAATGTTATAACAACGGTTACTATAACAACCAAAGCACTTTTCGTTCAATACTTGCACTTTTTAAACTTTAATAAATGCCGCAATATTCTTTAATTTTACAAATCAAATTTGAATGATTTTAATTTAATTTTCAATTTTGAACAAATTTATATATTGGCTAATAAATAAATTAATTCTTTATTTTTAAAAAGAAGTAGTTTCGTCACAAATACACGTAGAGAATAGAGATCAACAAATCAAATATTAAACATTAGTAATCCTTGATTATATTTTATTTTGTCTTCATTGTTTGATGATAATATTGTTAAAATATAATAAATTTATATTTATGTATTTAATAACAAATACTGAATTAAACAACTTATTGTGTATTTAAAAAGATATGAACTTAACAATTCTTTTTAAATAGAAAACAACCAAACAATGCTAAAAAATTCATCAAAAGAGAACCTAAACTTCGATAAAATAGGTAAAATTTACGAAAGCGACGAGGAAGATATAAAATCGGACAACAATCTGCAAGATGAAGTAACTACCATCCCCACCACCAACAACAACAACAACAAAAATAAAAACAACAAAAATAATAATGACAAATACAATAGCAATAATAATAATAATAACTTGAAAATATTTACAACAGATATTAATAACAGTCCTATCAACTCAAGTTACGATACTCTGAAGTTGACTAAACGCAGTAAAACATACACCGAACCACTCTTAAAATGTAATTTCATCGAGAAAGAGAGAACCAACTTAACTGAAGCTTCACACAAAAAAAAACTAACTTTGTCGGCCACTACTACTACTACTGCTGCAGCTGCAGAAGCTGCTGCTAAAACTACTTCAGGGAAATATAACAGTGCCGCGTCTAATAAATCACGTTTATCAGCTAAATTTAGGTAAATATTTCACTGCTATTATTACTGTTATTTATTGTAATTGTTATTAAAATAGTTATTTTTATTATTTATTATCATTTGAGTATTAGATGATTATAGTATGATAACAAATTAAACGATTTAGATGATGACGATTTTTTAGAGATAGCTGAATATAACGTTATAATGGACAACCTAATAAAATTAAAGCTGCTAAAGTTGCTGCAGTTGCTGCTGATTCTACTGCCAATAAAGATGATGATGCCGATGTAATATGACAACGATGTGACGATCTAACTATTGATGAAATGAGATTATCATCTTCAAATAATAATCTTTGCAGTGCTAAAAACGCATTCGTTAGTTCTTCCGAAGACGACGACGATGACGATGAAGATGGCGACGAAGAAGATGAGGAGGACGAAAGGATGATTGAATGGAACCCTCTCAACATGCCTGCTGATTACTGGCAGATACAAAAACTCATGAAGTACCTTAAGGTTTTTTAACCTTTTTTCCTCTTAATACATACACACAAACATACAGTCGCGCGCACACATACACGTACACACACACATAAACACAAACAAACACACATGCACAAACACACACAAACGCAAACAAACACACACACACACACACACACACACACACACACATAGAACGGCAACCAAACGTCTACATTAATTGCACTCTGTTCACTTCTTGATTTTGACCTGACGAATGAGAAAAACCAAATGGCAATTAAGGAAGATGGAGGAGTTGAGATGATCGTCAATCTTCTGGAAACCGAAGATCCTAAATGCAGGGTTGGGTTTGTTGATTGGTCGCTTGTTGATTAACCTTGGTTGGGTTTTGAACTTGATTGGTTGGATTTTGATTTTGATCGGTTGGATTTTGATTTTGATCGGTTGGATTTTGATTTTGATTGGTTGGATGTTGATTTGTTGATTTGGATTGACAGGTTGTTGGTTAAATTTTTTTATTAAATAACAGCCGGGGAACCAGGATAATTTATTGAATTTATTTTTAGGTACATTTTTTATCTTAAGCCTTTAAAACTTTCCTAATCATGATAATATTCACTTCATTATTATCCATTCCACCATTATCATTATTATCATTTCACATCATCATTTACATCCATTCCATAATCACAATAATCTTTCTCGTCCCCAAAAAAAATCAGATCGGAGCCCTAAAAATTTTAAAAGAACTCTGCTACAAGAATCAAACACTTCGGAAAAAACTTTCCGACTACGGAGCTATCAAAATGTTGGTCAAGTTGCTCTTTGACCCGGACTGGTTGACCCGTAGCTTAGCTGCCGAAACGCTGGCCAGAGTAGCCACGTTTCAAAGGGCCAAGAGAGCTGTGAGGAAAGAAGGGGGAATAAGTAAACTGGTTGGTCTAGATGGTTGGATGGATGGGTGAATGGATGGGTAGATGAATGGATGGATAGACTGATAGATGGGTGAGTGGATGGATAGATAGACTGATAGATGGGTGAGTGGATGGATGGATTGATGAATGGATGGATAAATGAATGGATAGATGAATGATTGAATGAATGAATAAAAAAGTTTGTTTCTTCACAAAATGGGATAAATGGCAAGCCGACAATGAATGTTCGACCTGATAAATTTTAAAATAAATTAATTTTGAAAATTATTTTCAAACCGCAGGTAAAACAGATTCAATTCAAACTGCCAAAATCTCACCAAAACGCCACCCTAACAGCAACCTCATCAAACGGACAGACCACCACTTCGACAACCACCAACAACAACAACATCAACGCGACATCAAGCCCAACAGCGACAAGCACAACGGCACAACTGCGCAACCAATCATCTCAATCAGCTACAAAACCATTCAACCAATCATCTTCCTCGCTTAACGTTAATCAGACAACGTCTTCAACCAATCAAATAATTGCGGAAGCAAAATCAGCCTCATTGGCTCTCTGGACTCTTAGCAGCGGAAGTAGAAAAAACCGGAAGTTGATGTGGGACGAAAAGATAATGACGTCATTGGTGGAATGGATGAAATGGTGTAGAAAGAACAAAAATTATAATAACACTAACAACAACAACATTAATAATAACAACAATAATAATAACAACAATAATAATAATAATGGAGGCGTTACAGATGAAAAAGATGAATTGCTAGTTGGTCTTGTTGGCGTTTTGAAAGAATGCACCAGAGAAGTTACTGTTAAATTTTACCGATTTGACATTTAGACAAATATCAATTTATTTATTTGATCATTTATTTATTCATCCATTCATTCAACCATTTATTCATTTTTTCGTTCGTTCGTTTACTCGTTCGTTCGTTCGTTCGCTTGCTCGTTTGTTCGTTTGTTTATAGGTCGTTCTTTGATTGTTTAATTCTTTCACCCATTCAATCATTCATTCAGTTAGTTGACGTTCATTCATTCATCTAGGCATTTATTCAATCACTCTTCTTTTTCGTTTTTTTATCGTTCCATCCATCCATCTATCGTTTCATTCATCCAGTCCTATTTCCGGAAATGCATGAAGGACGAAGGATTGCTGGAGCACGTCATCTTCCACCTCATCCATACGAAAAACTCCCAGTTGCAGATGCTCTGTGCCAGCACAATTGAGAAGGTAATGATGACGATGACGATGATGATGAGGATGATGATGATGATGATGGTGATGATAATCAAATCATGACGATGTGATGATGATGATAACTTTCATGTTGTGATGATGATGACGGTGACGCTGATGACGATGATGATAACTGTGATGATGATGAAGAAGAAGATGATGATGATGGTGATGATGATGTGATGATAACCATAAGGATGATGATGATGACTTGAAACAGACACACACACACACGCACGCACGCGCGCACAATTTGATACACACATCCACACACGCACAAACTCAGTGCGCCGTAGACGATGAATCTAGAGACCTGATCAGGGCTTACGGGGGCCTCACCCCTCTTGTTGAAATCGTAGCAGACGAGGGTAGCTTCCAGAAATCTTTGGTGGCGGCCACAGGTGCGATTTGGAAATGTTCCCCCAATCAAATAAACACCGTGAGGTTTCAAGAGTTGAAGACCGTTGATGTCTTGGTCAACTTGCTGATGGTCAAGAGCCAACCTGACGAGGTGAGGGTGATGATTACGATGACGTTCAACGTCAGATGTTGTGACGATGATGATTGGGATGATGATTGGGATGATGATGATTGTGATGATAATGATGATGATGTACTGACGGCCGGTGATGATTGTGATGATGATAGTAGTGATGATGATAGCTATAATGATGGTTATTAATTTTTTCAAAGTTTCTTTTGAGTTTTTCTCGGCGCTAAAATATTAAAAAATTGAAATAATTTTTTGATAATTATAACGGATAACTATTTTTACCACCACCACCATTTTCACCAAACGTTCTACTCATCAGCATCATCATGCACAACAACATCATCACCTCATTCTGTCTCAGTCGTATATCACCCATGTTCACATTCATCCACATAACCATTTTCATCATCGCCAACTTCACCAAAATATATCATCACGGTATCATTCCATCATCGCTGTATCGCATCATAGCACCATCACCCTTATCAATTACCTCCGTATCATCATCATATCACTATATCATCTTACCTCCGTATCATCATCATATCACTATATCATTTTACCTCCATATCATCATCATCATATCACTATATCATCTTACCTCCATATCATCATCATATCACTATATCATCTTACTCATCACTATCATAGTATCATTCCATCACCATCACCCTGCCATCCATCACACCAACACCTCATTCCATCACCACATCATCATCATCACCTCCAGGTGGTGGTAAACGTGGCGGGAGCCTTATCAGAGCTAGCGAGAGATTCGCAGTGCAGATCAACTCTAAGAAAGAACAATGGAATTCCTATGTTAATCTCGCTTCTGACGGGCACCAACCACCACATTCTTACGAATGCTGCTGTCGCTGTCGGTCGCTGCGCTGAAGACAGCGATTGTATGAAGTAAGTTGAAGTCGGGAGAAGTTTTTTTTTTTTTTTTTTTTTTTTTTTTTTTTTTTTTTTTTGATGGGTTTTAGTTATTAATTTAG